GTCTTGCTTAATGTTGAATGGGCACGGGCACTGCTGAAGGAATTTTGGGATTGGAGTCCTGCATGCATCAGGATGAGTTGGTTGCCCTGGGGTTTCAAACTTTCCGGTTTTTTGTTTGAAGGAAAGGCTCCAGTCTATTTGTGGGGAGCATCACGTGCTGAGAAACGGTACATCAAACAAACCAGTTGGATCTCGCCGGTATCACCTATAGGCTTTAATGTTGTAATCTGTTGGGCTCAGCGACGTCAGCGTCCCTTCTGTAATACATTGTTGGAGAGGTTGGCGAAGACTGAGGGCATGAGAAGACATGAGTACTAAACTCACGGGTGGTGTTGTATGGATACGTGGCACTGTGTGAATGTGTTTATTCTTGCTTGCTGTTAAACTTTGTGTGCAGTTTACCACTAAAGAAGAGGAGATGGAGTACGTGGTTGTTTTCACTTCTTTGCGGCCTATTTAGGTCACGGTGAACATGGCTGGCTAGAACTCTATGCCAGAAGTTAAACCACCAGTACCTCAGGGGGTCTTAGCCCCCCCCGACGCGAATGAATACAGCCCCGTGCGCCGTGCGGCGCACCAGATTCATCCATCGCGTTAACACCTAAAAATGTGGTAGGTACTCGTGGTCAGGCGGTCTTAGGATCCCTCTGATGTGAATGAATACAGACCCGCACCGCACACAGGTTCATGCACTGCATTACTAACACCTGAAAATGCAGTACGTACTGGTGGAAAGGAAGGATTCGACAACCCCGAAGACGTCTTGGAGTAGCTGCAACACCGCAGAACCCCTCAGTCCCTCACTCCACCATACTGCCTCCAGTCACCACTTCTGGAAAGAAGCCGCATCATTGGCCCGCGTGAGCCCGAGGAGCAGGAGAAGCCATTGCAGGGCCGGACATGCTCTGTTTTGATGTGAATCTGGAGCAGCAGTAATGCACAGTCGCAGAGCCAGACAGCCAGACAGTTTGCCCCTGCCTATGGGACTGGTGTTGATAAGCAGCTGTTGCAAGGGAGGAAAACAAAACGATGCTGTAGCAGGGCTATCCGTTATGGAGTCCTTATCACCTAACGTGAGTAGACCATGCGGTGCAAAGCCAGGTACTTGGTCATCCTTGCCCAATTTAGTTGGGATTCTTGGGAAACAGCTGGAGCCCGTGAGTAGACCATGCGGTGCAAAACCAGGTACTCGGTCATCCTTGCCCAATTTAGTTGGGATTCTTGGGAAGCAGCTGGAGCCTGGACTCTGGAGCAGGGGCTGGGGCCCCTGGAGGAAGATCAGTGAGTCAGTCACCATCTGTGAAGTTACAGTGATTGTGAGCAGACCACGTTTGTGTTCACTTGGGGAGAACGGACTACACATAGTATACAATGAATTAGTTGTTCGCCGATGTTGTTGAAGGTTCCCCTCTGGTAGCAGGGCCGACTTTTTCCCTGGCCTCGCCACACACAGGCGAGGCTGTGTGCCCGAAATCGGGGTGCGTGCATCGCCTGCGCATGGTGTCCTCCACCATATTGACTAAAAAAATAATCAGATTTTGGGTGGGTCATTTCCATATGGAAAAAAAAAAAACAGCATCTCTCTCTCTCTCTCTCTCTCTCTCTCTCTCTCTCTCTCTCTCTCTCTCTCTGTAACACAAACAAATAAAACAAACAAACAAGTCTGGCAGTGTATATTTCAATGATTCGTTAGATTTAACAAGTCTGGAAGTGTATATTTCAATGATTCGTTAGATTTTGCCCATCCCATCTGTGGAAGTACCAGTGGCATGAGGCCACCTGCGAGGAGACTTACCCCTTCTCTCTCTCTCTGTCACACACACACACACACACACATGCGCGCACGTGCACACACACACACACAGACACACACACACACACACACACACACACACAAACAAACAAACAAGGTCATGCAGTGTATGTTCCATGTTCCACTGGTAGATTCATTCAATTTTGATTTGGTCATCCTATCGATGCGAGTACCATGAGGCCAGCTGTGAGGTTGGAGACTAACCTGTTCTCTCTCTCTCTCTCTCTCTCTCTCTCTCTCTCTCTCTCTCTCTCTCTCTCTGTGTCTGTGTCTGACCCCCACCGCCGAATTGCCCGAAGAAGACTAGGAAAAGAAGAAGAAGCAAGGCCGCTATATCTCCAGGCCGGGCGAAGAGGCCAGACTTACCCCTTCTCTCTCTCTCTCTGTCACACACACACACACACATGCGCGTGCGTGCACACACACACACACACACACACAAACAAACAAACAAGGTCATGCAGTGTATATTCCATGTTCTACCGGCAGATTCATTCGATTTTGATTTGGTCATCCTATCGATGTGTGTACCATGAGGCCAGCTGTGAGGTTGTCTCTCTGTGTCTGTGTCTGACAAGAAGACTAGGAAAAGAAGAAGAAGACGCAAGGCCGCTATATCTCCAGGCCGGGCGAAGAGCCCAGCCTCATTGTTGGTGTGCAGGTTTGGTGACACACTAGTTGGAGCGCTGGCTGGAGCAGTTGCTGGGGAAGAAGCAAGGACTTGGAGGAGGAAGAAGGACAGGAAGGGGGAGGAGCGCCAGAGGTACTTACCTGGCTATGGTGGCAGCCATCTACATCACCTTGGCAGGCGGCGGACGCTGCAGCAGGGAGACCCCAGCTGGGGAGAGCTACACCAAGAAGTTTCGAGGCAGAGTCAGGCATGGCGGCCTGAGCTAGAGCAGCCATAGCTGCTTTGCGTTGTCTTTTGCACAGCAGGGCAAGGCCCAAGTAGTCTGCCATAGCCTCGGCCTATGCTATGGTGGACCTCAATTGATACCAGCAGTAGAAGAGGGATTTGGACATTGATTCTGGTTCAGCCATTCAACATTGTATTATTATTTCTTCTGTGAATAAGAGAGGAGGAGATAACGAGGAGGAGGAGATAACGAGGAAGAGTGTTAGGCGAAGAAGAAGAGCTTTGTTATCTGTCTATGCTGGTGTACATCCTCTTCCTCTTCTTTCTTACTTCTAAACCCTATATATTTTTTTCACGTATTTTTTTACCCTTAAAAAAAATCCAAAAAAACAGGCTGCAAACTCGGCCTCCTGGTCGCGGCCGTGGCAGGGTCACAGTGATCATGAGATCAGAGGAGCTGCGGTGCCTCTGCAGTGATGGAGTGCCTGGCGATCTCACAGTTGATAGGAAACTGTATATTGCTAGGCCGGGATCGAGTTTGGACACTGGAGACTCGGAGCATAATGGAGTCTGTCATTGTTTGTGACGTGTCTCATGCTGGTTGGTCGTCACGGTCTCTTTGGTTAGGTTGCATCACCTCGAGGAGTCTAGCTTAGGTTAACCCCCATGGTTAGGTGGAGTCTTCCCCTTGTGTTAGGCTGGGTTAGGTGTGAATGGAATGAAATTTGTGTGGTTCCGCGTCTGACTCAGTGTTGGATTCGTGATTTGTCTTGAGAATTTTTGGTTGCTGTAGAATTGGTCGTCACGACTCGTCGGCAAGCAGATGTTTTGTCAATTGCAGCGAGAAGAGTCTGGAAGAGGGTGGAGAGGGGGGCGGAAATGGTGGCAGCTGGCAGGAAGGAAGGGGAGTGGGTCCTTGGGACCTTGTTTCAGAGATTCCCACCTTCTTTGTTCCTGTGCTTGATATGGTTTGCATAGGATGGTGACCATAAATGACCCGAAGTTCCACTCTAGTCGAACCTAGATCGACACTACTGAAAGTACGTGGCCGCTGATGCTGACATTTACAAGTTGTATACCGTCCTAGTTAAAAGTAGTGTTGATTTGATCGATGTTGTGGAGCAATGGTACAAGTTTGAGGCGAAGGTGTAAGGAAGGAGAATGCCAGGAGACCATTGCTCTGACATCACTGGCTGAATGAACCATCGAATGGTCCCTGCTGCTGACACCACCGCGGTGAACGAGCGCGCTGTACAGTGTGCGGAGGTTGCACACACGGCCATGTACTTTCATTATCAGTGTCATTCATCCTTGGTCTACGCCTGGTGGTTTTGGAGTCCCATTTGACAATGGACCTAGCTGACACGTTAAGCACTCCGCCTGGAGGCCTCTGGAGTACGGTCCCGACTCGCAAGGCAAAAATCGATGGGGTCCTGCACAAGCTCTGGACTGGGCGGCGCATGTGGTTTAATTTGATGCAACGCGCAAAACCTTAGCAGCCCTTGATATAGGAAAGAACTGTGTTACCGCGCGTTCATTGAACGCGCGTTCCGCGTTCTGTTTATGAACGCAGTGAACACACGTTCACTGAACGCGCCTGAACACGATTGACGTGTTCGCGCAGGGGGGCTGTGAGGGGTGGGAAGGTGCCTGTAGGCCACTGGGGAGCGTCGGCGGTGCTTGGGGGGTCATGTGGGTGAAATCCCCAGGTAAAGTTAAAAAAGCCCGCATTTCGTCCTGAGGCGGCATAAAGCGGGCGCAGCGTTCGAACGTGACACACTCGTGCAGTGCGCGTTCGAGCGTTCCCCACCTTCAGTTGGAAACTCCCTGCACGCGCACTGGCAACGGAGTGAACGCGTGCGCGCGCGCGTGCGAGAGAGAGAGAGAGAGGGAGAGAGAGAGAGAGAGAGAGACGTGGCAATCTGCCGACGCGCGCGCACGCGCGCACGCACGCGCGCGCGAGAGAGAGAGAGAGAGAGAGAGGCCGAAGGCGACCACATGGAGCTGCGCGAGGACGGCGACGGCGTGGAGCTGCGCGGGTGACCTGGCAGTCGGCGGCGACGGTGACGATGTGGAGCGGCGCGGGAGAAGGCGACGGCACGCAGGAGCACTAAAAATTGAACGCACGTTCAATTTTTTCAACGCGCGTTCAATTTTTTTGAACGTGCGTTCGCGTTCATTGAACGTGCGTTCAATTCCTTGAGCGCGCGCTGTTCCTCGCTCCTGTTGGGGGTCCGTGCTGCGTCTTCCGCACTGTGGGGGGTTCGAGGACCTGGGGGGTGGGTCGCCGGCCCGACAGGGGCCGCTCAGCGGTGGGCCGACGGGGCCTTGTGCGGGGAGGGAGGGAGGTGGGAGTTGGGGCTTCGTGGGACAGGCTGGCGGCAGTCCACTTCGGTGAACCCATCGGCGAACGGGCACAATGCCGGGAGGTCAGGCTCGGGTGTTTGAGGATGCGGGGGAGGACGAGAACCACAAGGCGCAGAAGAAATGTTGCGTGTACAAGTACATCCGCGTGGGACAGAGTCTCGGCGAGAGATTCCGCGGCAATCGCATGTTGAAGTGCGTTTTTTGTGGCCACGAGTTCCAGGGCAACCAGTTCGTGGCGGGGCGCCATTTTCGGCGGGGCAAGGGATGTCCGGCAGTGACCGACAAGGCACTTGTCGACATTCACTACAACAGCGACTACAAGATGTCTTACAAGCTCCTAGAGCGGATCCAGCGGTTTGAGGAGCTTCACGGTCCGGCGCCTGCGATGGATCCACGACGGGACGAGGGGGGGGAGGGAGAGATGAGGGACGCCGAGGAGCGGATCGACATGGACGACGACGTCGAGGAGGTTGCGTGGGCGGGGTCGTCAGGGAGGGATCAAGGGAAGGGCGTTGTCAGAGAGCCGGGTGGGCAGCAGGGCCAGTACTTTGCGTCGGCGCACGTGTTGGCTCGTGCACAGGCAGGTGTAGATACGGATGAGGTGGGTCCGTCTACGGGGAATAGGAAGGAGAGAGAGGAGGGGGCGCGGCCGACGGCAACACAGAAGAGGCTGAGGCAGAACACCATCATGGAGTCATTCTCTTCAAAGTGGCAGATGGAGTTCTAGAAGAGGTGGTTGAGGTTTGTGTACAGTCAGCGCTTGGCGTTCAACGTCTTCCGGAGCGAGCCGTGGTTGGACGTCGTCCGACACTTCAGGGAATTGCCGGGGCCGGTGAAGGTTTTGTGGCCTTCAAAGAACGAGATTGCGGACATAGAGACCATTGTCCACACGACGGACGATGTGGGAGCTGATCTCGCGGAGGTCAGAGCTCCTTTCTATGTCACGGGGGCCATCATTATGTCAGACGGAAGGAAGTCACGCTGTCGGAGCAAACATCCTTACAAGGGTATTTCCTCATGATTTTGCATTCATTACAGTATCGACGCCGGTCGTCGTGCCGGAGACAAACTAGAGTAAAAAACGAGAATTTTTTTTGGCCTGGCGCCGTGAAGCAAACTTCTCGACCATTGAGGCCGAGATTTTTAGGTGATCATACGCAGTGATACGACGCGTACGACAACCGAAAAGGGTTAATAAAAATTAAAAGTCTTCGACCACAAGGGTCAGAGGGTTGGAAGAAAAACAAGAAAGGTCGCACAGGATGCGCCGACCACAATCTAAAACCGTTAAAGGATCAGACGGTAAGGCAGAAATGAATTAGAACAAGTTCAGGGGCATCAAGACCGGCCGGTATATGAAAGTCGGCAGATCGCACCACCGTTAAATCTAAAGACGACTGAAAAATTAATACAACCTCGGCCATGCGGCCGGGGCAGCCAAAAGAAACGTACTGGCGACCATAATAGGTAGCGGCAGTCGGTACCTCTATCCTTACCCATATGCCGTGAGTGGGGTTAAGGCTCCAGCTTCGCCTCCGTATGTAGAGAGGAAGTCGCCTCTCGAGTAGCGACTTCGTGTCCGCACGATCACCCAAGCAACTGGTGCCTTCGTCCCTTTGAGGGAGACACTGTTGCAAGCTCTTATACCGTCCGCATAGGGCCTGGACTCAGGCTACTTGAACTGGTACCCGCCTATCTACCGATACCGGGCCTCTAAAAATGCCAACTTTTGTCTTCTTCTGCTCAATCCCGAGTACCCGGCGCATCTACCTCTACTGGTAAGGTACCGTCCTACCTGATACTTGAGTATTTCCCGCTAAGTGTCGCGGGGCTTTTTCCTCGCCACTTGAGTGTTTCGACCCTCAATGTCACGGCTACGGGTAAGTACCGGCCCTTCGGGCCGTCCAATCAATCAATGCCCTTCCGGGTCACACACACGCTCAAGCCGCCGAGTACTCAGACAGGCAGACCGCCCAGCGTGCACACACACACAAACTTAGAAACGGGCTCAGGCCGCTAGGTGGGCTGAGCCCCGATACTCTACATATACCTGAGCGGCTCTTTTCTTAACCAGAGTAGGAGCTAGCTCAGTAGGTTAAAGTGCAGACTGTCAAGCAAAGGGTGCAGGGAATGAATCCACTGGACCCCTGAGCTAGCTCCTTTTATGGAGGAGCTCCGCAGTGTTCTCACCCGAGCTCAGTCGGTCGGGGCTTGAACCCCCGACCTCAGTATTAGGAGTAGTTATAGGTAGTTAGCCTGCCCGACAGATGGCACGACAGGGTAGTTAGGAAGTTAGATTTTCTTTTGTCTATTTCAAATTTATTTATATTTACTTTCTTTTCTTTTTCTTTACGATTTTCAAGCCCCCGACCTCAGTATTAGGAGTAGTTATAGGTAGTTAGCCTGCCCGACAAATGGCACGACAGGGTAGTTAGGAAGTTAGATTTTCTTTTGTCTATTTCAAATTTATTTATATTTACTTTCTTTTCTTTTTCTTTACGGTTTTTAAGTTTCTTTTTGTTTATTCTAGGTTTATTTCTTTTCTTCCGATCTTATATGAGAACTTGTTGGACTTAGCGTAAGAAATGGGGCGGGTTCAGTCTCGAAAACAGGCACTGCCTGTGTGCCTCGATTGAGGCGTGGCCGAGCCAGCTGACGGCCCGACGAGAAACTTGCGCACGACTACCGGGAGCTAGAAGAAACAGAGCACGATCAAACGGGGCGACCGCGAAGTTGAGAAGGAAGTAGAGAAAACAGGGAGTAGCGTGAGGAAGGGGAAGACGGAATCGTTGCGCAGAAGAAAGGAAGAAAGGCGCGCGAAGGAGAAGAAGAGAAGCACGGCCTTGAGGAGAGAGAAACAGGCATGCGGGAAGAAGAAAAAGAAGAAGTAGTGGAGAAAGAAAAAGAGGGAGAAGAAGAAGTAGACAAAGAGGAAGAAGAAGAAGGAGGAGGAGGAGGAGAAGAAGAAGAAGGAGAAGGAGAGGAAGGAGGAGAGAGACGAGGAGAAGGCGACTTACCTGTCGTCCGGCCGGCTCATTGGAAGGCGCAAATATGTCAGTCATCCTCTCCATGCTATGGCCTCGACATGCTACTCTTCGTGATGGGTCGTGCTGAGGGTCATGGAGTATCGAGGCAGAGGACGACGACGACGATGGGGATAAGGAGAGAGAAACAGGTAAGTCCCCTATTTTGCGCCTAAGTTAATAGTACTTTTGTAGACGAGATGAATGCAATCAAAAGAATCTAACGCTGGAACGTGGAATTATACACTACTAAAACTTGTGTGTGTGCGTGCGCGTTATTCGTGTGCGTGTGTGTGTCAGCATTTTCGCTATATACAACTCCAGAAAGAAATGCATGACTATGACTGACTGTTTCCCTCGGACTTTAGCCGCCTCATCAGGAGGATCGAATGCCCACAGGCAGTCTGCCCAGGATGTATTCGGCTGATGTGTGTGTGTGTGTGTGTGACACTGGCTGTCGACTCCGAATACAGCGCACCCCTGGCGATAATGCATCGGGTTGGAAAGATGACTCGTATACCTTTTCTTTTAATCATTGTTATTATTATTATTATTATTATTGTCAGATGCATGATGATCCTTGGGTGCTAGTGGCATTTGTGTGCTGTGGAACGAGGAGGTGAGTGATACAAGGGACATACCTGGTGCCGGAAGCGTGCGGCATTGGCCGCTGTATGCTCGTACTTCGGAAAGCTGTTGTCGTCAACTCTTGCACTGTAGTATAGGCTAGTTGGGATCTGCCACATGTAGTCTGGGCGCCGAGCGCCAGATAGGATATCAACTCTGGTTTTTCGTTGATGATGATGGGACTATTTGAGCATTGTCAATTATGAACTCTTGATGTTCTTATTTGGTGAATCTCATGATGCAATTCTGTTGTTAGTTCGAGGTCACGACTATCTGGTCTTATGTGTATGATACTGTTTGATTTCTGAAGTTCGCTGTTGCACATTTTCCTTGCATTTTTGTATTATTATTATCATTGATTGACTGGTATTATCGTTATTGTTATTATTATTATTACTATTATTGTTATTATTATTGTTATTATTATTATCATTATTGTTATTATTACGATTATTATTATTATTATTATTATTATTATTATTATTATTATTATTATCATCATTATTCTTATTATGATTAAAATTACTTTTGTTATTATTATTATTATACCTTCTTAAATCATATTTACCTGGCCGTTACTATGGCCATGTACATGTCAGATGGAAGGAGCGACATTGAATACTGCGTAGGTGTGGCCCGAAGGTTTGGACAGTGGCCCACGAGTTCACCGTAACGCTCCTATTTGGATGGAACCTTGGTGCAAACGAGTTATCTGCCTAGTACATGACTATCCGGGCTACTGCGTGTTCTTGGGATTTGAGTTCAGAATCTGTCTATGGCTTCCACTCGTATTCCTGACGGTATCTCCTCTCAGATAAATCTGACCCACTATACCGGGCAGATTCATCTAAGTGATGGTCAAACTACTATACCATTAATGATTGTCCGCGTTCACAAGGACGGTGGTGCAGGTCGTGGTGAATGCGAGGGGGTAACCACGTTGAGGATGAAGGTCCGCGAAAGAGGGAGAACTCCGTAGAGAAGAAGATGAGCAAAGCCAGTATAGAGAATGGACACGGCAGGGAAGGAGATGGTCGTAGAAGAAGAAAACGGAGGAGAGGTAGGAGGGAAAAACGAAGAGATGGAAAGGAAGGGAGAGTGGACTAATGACCATTACTGTGCGGGTCCCACACTCTCTCCAACGATAGGATGAACAAGATCGGGTGAGTCTGTGACTAGAACATGGAAATGTGCATTGCCACACTTGTTTGTTTAGGCACGCAGGAGCGTGCATGCGCATGTGTAGGAAACAAAAACAAGTAGACTGACGGCAGACAAACAAACAAGAACAAGCAGGCATACGACGACTGATAGCCAGACAAACGGCCAGATTGACAGACACAGACAAGCAGACAAGACACAGACATATGCAAACAGACAGATACAGGGTAACCAGACAAACATACGAATATGGACGGGCTGCGACAGACAGACAGACAAACATGAATCAGACAAACAAAAACAGACATACGGACACACTGACACACATACAGAGAGTGAACGACGGATACAGACAGACTGACTGACAAATACCGTCAAAACAAACACAGTCAGTCAATCAGACAAGCATAGATAATCAGCCATACACAGACATAAGTAAACAAGACGAAGACTGAAGCGGGCAGTCAAGACGGTCAGATTCAGGAAAGACAGGTACAGTCGGACAGGACAATAAAACAAAGATAAACGAACGGACCAGGACTGACTCAGACAAAAACAGACACACATGACAAACAGTCAAGCACGAATACATACATACAGGTAGACAGTCAGACGAACGGACATCGAGACAGAGAAAGAGACACATACACACAGAGAACGAAACAGATGGAGAGAAAGTGAGTGGGGGGGGAACGAAGTTGTAAGTGAGACGAGAGACATACCTGGTGCCTGAGGCGATCGACATTGGTCAAGATCTGCCCGTACTTCGGGGAGATGCTGACGTCACCAACAGCATTGTAAATAGTCTAGATAGGATCTGCCATTCGCAGTCTGGTCGCTGGGCGCCGGGTAGGTTGTCGACATTAGTTCTTTGATGAAGAGACTGCCCCGACAGTATCACTTATGAGCTTTTGCTGAATTCTTAGCTGATGAAACTCATGATGCGATCCTACCTTTTGATACGGGGTCAAGACTGTCTATTTCCATATGTA